TTGTACATCTATCCAGACTGCTTAGTGCCAAGTTATTTGTGTTAAATATAGTGATGTGCCGGATATCCGTATCCGTATCCGCGGATATCCGAGGGAAAAAAAAAGATCCGTATCCGTATCTGTTACTTTTTAACGGATCTTTTATCTTAATGAATTTCATTAATTATATGAAATTTTAAAGATAGATAGCAATAGCACATTCGTCATTTATCAATACTATCGTAAAATATTTCCATATTACACTATTAAATTTTTTTGTCGACATTGTTTTTATTTTAATTTAACTCAACACTCTCCAAAAACACAAACGTAATCTACGCTATCCCATGTTACAATAGCCACAAACCGGTGTATCCCAACGTGGGGCCCACGCCCCATAGGGGGCAATTGGATTGCTAAGGAGGGCAATTCGAAAACGGACTTGTCCAGAGTTTAAGTTAACCGTAAACCGCTGTATATGTTAGGAAGACATAAGAATTTTAGAAAGGCTTAGGTGGGGCATAGCACAAAAAAGGTTGGGAAACACTACACTAAACTATTGTGGCGGTACGCTATATTTTTGTAAATATTAATTTTAGTTTAGTTTCGTTTCTTCTTTCTACCCTTTGTTCTATTGTTCTATTTTCTTCTAGAACTTTCTTATCTATTCCCTGTCCCTTGGGTGGGATGAGCAGTTCCTAGAAATTTGAGGAGCAAAGGTGTAAACAGGAGCCGGAGAAAAAAGAGAAGTGACGTTGCAGGTCATTCGTAAACTGGACGGCAGAGTGTAAGGACGAGGTGAGAATACTGGGAGTCGTATTTTCAATGACCGGATAGTTCAGAAATAAGTTCAGAAAAAAGATCCTGTTTTAAGGTCGTATTGACGACTGTGGAAGGAAACATCCTAATTATTGAAGAAGAGAACTGGCCAGTTATAGAAGGACGTGTGTTATCCCACCCAACAGTATGCATAAAGAAACAAGCCGAAAAAAGGGACAAAGCCCCAGATATCCCTATTTCTATCTTATCTACCATTTTTTCTGTCTTCTTAATTCTATCTCTTTTTCTGTTAATAGTGTTAAGTTAGTGTTTAAGGTTAGTTTTAAGGTTCCGGGTTATATTGTCGCAATCGGGACCTGTATTGTATACGTGCTTTGGATACAGCTATTATTATCGCTGTAATTTCGCATGCTACTGTTTGCACCGTGCAGTTGGAATCCCCCGAAATAGAATCTGTATAAAGACGCGAAATAGCTTAATTGGAAAATTATATCAACTTTTGTTACTTTATCCTGTCTGCCTTTGTGGTGAATTCTAATTTAGCACACTTTTACACCATAAACAAAAACACGCGCAGTGCAAGTCAAAACACGTCGCGTTATTAAAGCAAAGTGTCAACTATCGGTCCAAGGTCACACGCACCGGCGCCGACTGAGTACGAAAGTTGAAATCCGTATCCGTATCCGCGGATATACATTTTTAACGATCCGGCACATCACTAGTTAAATGTAGTTAGTGTTGATGGTGTCATACAGTGCAAGAGTCGTCGAGACTAACTGGCAATAACGGAAAAACAATCTTCGGGAATATCAAACTATTATCAGTACACAATTCTGTAGGTACTATTTCGGTGCAGCTAGGATGTCCCGATACCACAAACGTATTAGTATTGGTATTGATCTTAAAGTATCGATATCAGCCGGTATTGGGTATCGAAACTGGAAATCTTGCTGGCTGTCACTGTTCAGTCTGACTTGATTTTGAAACTTTTAACATGGCTAAAACAAATTATTAAAACTGATTTATTGCATAAACTAAATGTTATCAATACTGTACTTGAATAACAGGATATAATGATGGTTTAGAAGATTTCCAAAAAAATTTGATCTCTCTAATTGTCCTCAATCTGGAAGACCTCTAAGGGTGCGACTATGCAAACGCGAATTTAGTAGCGAGCGAGAGATTCCGAGCGATATAGTTAAAAAAAAATGCACAAATGAGAAGCGAGAAATCTTTCTGGCGTGAGCGAATTTCTGGTTCTCGCACATATGTGACAGGGTTTGATATTTATCACGTCTCGCCTCTTCTCGCTCGCTGGCATCTGCATAGTCGCACCGTTACTCTGGATGATGATGCTCTTAAGACTCGTTGAATCAGATCCAAAACAGACCATACAAGAATTAGCAGAGGAACTTCATTCATCATGGTCAACTGCCCAAAAGCACTTACATAAGATTGACAAGGTTCTTAAACAGGGTGTATGGGCACCACATGAACTGTTAGATAACAATAAAGCATAGAGATGGGAGAGTTGCAATTCATTGTTAACCAGACAACAAAATGACTCCTTTCTGGATGAGACAACTGGTGACGAAAAATGGGTGCTATATAAGAATATTAAATGCAATAAACAGTGGCTTTCTCCAAATTAAACTTCATTTCCAACACCTAAAGATGAACTTCATCCACAAAAGGTTCTGTTGTGTTTGGTGGGACAAGGTAAGACTGTCACAGCAGCAATCTATTGTGAACAATTGGAGAGACTACGTCAAGCATTGTTAATCAAATGTCCTGCGCTTGTCAATCGAAAAGATTAATAGAAAATTAAAAGGTAATATTGCAGCAAGATAATGCAAAACCACATTCTGCAAGAATGACTCAAGAAAAAATTTGACAGTTAGGATGGGAACTTCTACCACATCCTCCATATTTGCCGGACATTGCCCCTAGTGACTATCACTTATTCAGGTCCTTAAAACACAGCATAAGAAATAAAACCTTCCGTTCACATGATGATGTACTGTACAAAGGAGTTTAATATCATATTTTTCGTTCAAAGAAAAACTTTTTTCAATAAAGGAATTCTAAACTTAGTAGATCGTTGGAATAAGGTTATAATTAACGATGGTGATTATATAATTGAATAATGTTAATGTTTTCTTTAATAAAATTTATATTAAAAATGTATTTTAAAAAATTGATTGAATTTTACGAAGATATCTGGATGCATAACTATTTTATCAATAAGTGTATGTTTACTGCTAAGACAATATAAATATAAAAATTTAATAGACTTATTCTGATTTTTAAAAAATTCAGCTACGAGTTGAGTAACTTTTCCGGCCAAAAAAAGTTAAAATTGTGTGGCGTCATGTTATAAAAAGTTTTTAAAATAAAATCTCATTGTTATAAAATGGCAAAAAATTTAATTTTGAGGGTACAGACGAATTCTATTTAAAAAATTTGTTAATGCTAATAACAAATAAAATCATCTTTAAATCCGACCCCACTCGAGATATGACACCCCCTGGACTTTTAACTACCAAAATTTAATAGCATCAATGTCCTTAATTCACAAATCTCCTTGTAAAATTCAAAATTTCAGAAATTTTCGAAAAAGTTTTTTTTTTTTTTTTTTTCATTTCTCGAAGTTTCAAACTGACCTCCCCAAGATTTTTACATTTTTATGTAAAAATCTTGGGGAGGTCAGTTTTTGACTGATCTCCATATTTCCCGTATGTTATATATAACAGCCGGGGAAAGTAAAAGCGTATTTAAATTATTTAACTTTATTTTTAAAATTACAATTTTCGTTGACTTTTTTCCTTTTAAAAATAATTTACACGGACAGTGTCTAATTTTTTTTAGTAAATTTATCAGTAAAGAAAGATCCGAACCAAGATTCATATTATACGTGTACGAACCTTGATCGAAATGACCCAAACACCAAATAAGATAGTTGTGTTTCAGATCATCAGATGGTGAAAATGCTAATACACTCAGGACAATATTTATGCGCAGGCGTCAGTCCTGCGCGTAAATATTTATAAGTCGCCAGTATGAGGCCTGCACATATAGGACCCCAGTAAAGTTAATTTCCGTTAAAAAAATTACTACATAAAAATTACGATAATAAATATCAGAGGCCCTCTGTGGGCGCTAAGAGGGCTTCTTTTCCATGTCCACTGTGGATTCCGTCACCTACAATGGGGCGGCTGTAAAGAAATTCCTGGGAATTTTCGATTTGTTCGGGTCCCCAAAGTGGTAGACTGACGCACCCTTTAAAAATACCAGGGTAGCCGAAGGGATGTCCTAGGCGGTTAAGACATCAGCAGTGCTTAGGTTCAAGTGTAAATACTGTTCTGAATACAGTACAGATTTAATGGGATAGGGCAGTGATTCTCAACCACTGCCCTATCAAGATTTTTGTAGTGTGCCGCCACTGCAAATAACCATACATAAGCAACATCAGACAAGTAGTTCAATTAGTTCTACCTTCCTAGGATGCGTTTGGAAATTGTAACCAGTGTTAATGGTAACTGCCAGTAGTTACCAAGTCATTTAGAAAACGTGACCTAAGTAACCAACTGCGTTTAAAACTCACTGTTATGACGGCACCGGTTGTCCTGCGGTACTTATCAAAGTAACTATGTGTGCCGCCAAATTTTTAAATCATTAAAAGTGTATTGTGACGAAAAGAAGGTTGAGAATCACAGGGATAGGGTAACACAACACAAGCAATCTACTAAGGGAGGTCTTTCTATGGTAGACTGACCCCTATTTAGATGTTACACATGTGAAAAATTCCTGGTAAACATCATGTGGCCAGCCAGTTTGAGTCCACTAAGTTACCAGTGTTTGGTGGCATTATCCATTATATCACTGGTGGGCATGCATAACTATGAAAAACTTATTTTAACATAGCTTATTTTAAATTAATAATGTCTTTATTCCTTAAACTTTTTTTTTTTAAATAATGTATATTGATCACAAGATTTCAAGATATTGAATCCATCATATCCATTACATAAGAATAATCAAAACTTTTTATAAATTTATTTCCAGTTATACATATTTTAACATCATTTTAATATTCCTTGTGTGTATTTTTCTTGCATTTCTGGATTATTACTATTATTGTTATTAAAATACATTATTTGAGTTTTCATATAAAACACAATAAAAATTAAATAAACTGTTATGTTGTTATCAGATATTAATTCTGTAATTTTAGACATTCCATTAAAAATTAAAGAACATAAATTTCATAAATATGTTGAAAACAAAACATTTTTCATATATGCAGATATAGAATGTTATAGGATAGTTTTCACATAATTTTATAATTACAAAGTTTTCTTAAGGAGACATTTATCACTTGTGTGCAAAAATATTATGACAAAAATAAAATTAGGCATAAGAAATTAAGAAATGTTTTAATTTAGATTTTTTAAATATGCTTAATCAAAATACAGTATATCAATATTAATATTATGCAAGAAATAAAGAGAGTTTATTCTTGAATAAACTGTCTGTTGATTTCTGTACTTTTTCCAGTTTATGTATGTAAACACAACAGCCCAGATAACTTTCTCTGAAGTTTAGATTACTTTTCATTATTACTGTTTATAATTTACTATAGAGACTGAAATGTATATTTGGAAAACTGCTTTACAGATTACTGTGCACTTTTTTAATAAACTGACTTTAATAAGATAAAGATTCTGTGAGATAAAATCATCAAAATTTTTTATTAGTTTAAAATCACAAAATACACACAGCATTTAAAAACAACATATGAAATATTTCCAAAATTTTAGATCAAAGTTTTATTACAGTGATCATGACATATGTAATGATTTAATATATTATTTTAATTTTTTAAAATATAATTTAATGTTGCCTTAATATAAAAATACTTTCATTTGTTTATTTGGCAGTGTTTGAAATGGTCAACATTTTTGTTGCGTAAGTGAAGAGTGTAGTAATGAAATTTTAACAAATGTATATATTTTAAATAGTAAAATATTATATGATATTTTTACCAAGATATAAAATAATACAAAATCAAAAATATAAATTTCATGACAACTGATAAAAGAAATCACATTATGATGATTTCTTTTCTTTCAATCTAGTTGTATTAGGATAGGGATGATTCCATTGTACATATTGAAAATAGACAGCAAAACCAATAAAATGGATGCAGCTGTAGACAGCATTGAGAAGAGAATGTATATGTGGATAATGAGCAGGTGGCTTGACAATAAAAGCCGAAATGTTCAACAAAAGACCTCCAAGAATTGATAAAATAAACTGAAAATATAATATCAATATTGATATTACAATTAAGTTATTTTAACATCAGAAAAAATATTAATTTAAATATTTTTTAAAATATCATAAACATAAAATTCTATTTTAAATAAACTCATTCTGATATAGAAATTACTGACAACTTAATATATCTCTCTGATTTCTTTATTCAAACTTACAATAGTAAAATAAAATTCTTACTTTTAAAAGATTGTTTTTAATAAATTTGATTGCTGTTTTGAAATTGACTCTCATCTTAAGATCTTACCATCATTCAAGATCCTGTTTCTATTGACTTCCAGTCAAACAAAATTTTTTCAAAACCATTCCAATTATTTTGAATTTGGCCAGTGCTTCAGAATTTTAGTGGTTTTATAAAGTGATCAGACATCCCGGATTAACTGGGACAATCCCAGTTTTGAATAAATGTCCTGTATTAACCCATTTTTATTTATAAGTAAATAGTTCATATTAAAAAATTAAAAGATTTAATTTATAAAAAATTACTTTGAAGAATTCTCCTTTAACATATACTATATATAGAATATTCCATCCTATTAAATTACCACAATGTTTCTTATGTAGAGATGCAGCTAAGCATAGTGCTGTTACCTAAATCCTACACTAATAAAGTGACCAGATGTCTTGAATTAGATAGGACACTTTTTTATATGGTGTTCAGATTTTTGAAAAGTTATAACATAAACGTTTTTAATATTAAATTTATATAAATAATAGTCCAATTGACAATTTATTGTCCTGTCTATCACTGCTGTCTGTTGGTCAACAGTGAATTGTACAGTGTGTAATCATGCAAATGATGATTTTTGCAAATTATCTGAATAAAAAAATAAATCTCTTAATTATTTTAATTTTGATAAGAATAGAAAAATTTTAGCAACTGCTTAATTTCTGGTAAGTCAGAAATAGTACATCATAATCAAGCATGTGACTCAGATGATGTCACATCAAAGCACCTGGCCTAATATCTGGCTTTTTATGTTTTGTAATCTGGTCGCTTTAGGTTTTACTAGTCAAGACTGACCAATTAACTAACAGGAAACAGAATCAAAGGATTTAAAATGATTAAATCTGAAGAAGATTGTCAATCTTGAAAACATTAAACACTAAAAGTTATGAAAAAATTAATTTTTGTCAAGATATATTTATTTTAACAGGACTTATTATTGTATTTTGATACGACAAAACAAAAGTAAATACAGTTTGCCAACAATAATTTTCTTTCAATCAATATGAATTAGTTTCATAACATGAAATAGCTTTCTTTTTCATATTTATTTAATCATTTCAAAAGCATAATACACTAAATTTATTGTGTAATTTAAGGCAATAATTATATAGTATATAAATTTCTATTCAAAATCTATGAATTGTTTGGTAGAATTCAATACAATAAATTATAATAATTTATAAAATACCATTAACAAATACTCACCAGTAAATTTTTTAATGAACGTTTTTTAAAAGTAATATCTAATCCCATCCCTTTAAAGGTTCCAATGAAAAACAACACAGATAAAGCGAAATATGGTATGGTAAGTCGATCCTTTGAGATCAATGGAAACATACTAAAATAATTTAAAAGTTTAAATAAATAAAATGAAAAATTAATAAGTTTATTAATAAATTTTTACTACAAACCTAAATGTTGAGATATTCAAAAACCATAAAATTTCAACAGGATAATCATCAATTAGTAACAAAGCAGGTCTAAAATATTTATAAAAAAATAATAATTAGATTTAAGTTATGCATTAATCAATCAAACAAGTAAAAAAAATTGTAAAAATGTTTAAATTTTACAATTTAATAATTTCTTTATGAGTCTAATGAGCTAACTAATATCATTGATTTTACTTATCATTAAAATTAAAAGCTAAATACAGTGGGTGATCGGTTAACGAACAGATCGGACAACAAACAAATCAGATAACGAACACTTTCGCAAACAATTTTTATGTTCGGACAACGAACACATGATCGGATAACGAACATCCCACAGAACAAACAAGAAGAAGCGACGTAAAATAACGAATACCAATTGGACTTTCCTTGTCTTCGGGCAACAATTCAAAACTTTTCGGAGTGTGGGAGACGTCAACATCGATGCTCAAGCCGGTATATACCGATCGGATAGTATTCCTCCGAACTTTAAAACTCTCCCTTATAATTCCAGCCTATTATTTTTATGACAAAAGAATTCTTTTATGTATTCGCGAGACCGTCAGGTAGGCACTCGTTAAGTTTTGCATCTGTTTTTTTTTGTAAGGTGAGAGTATAATAGCAAAGGTAAAGAGTGGGCAGAAGATACCTAATGCTGCTGGGCAGTATGGCGTGAACAGGTCTATAGTAGGCCGCAGTTCATTTTTTTAAGAAAAATACCGTATAATCAAGAAGACTCAAGCAGCTAAAGGAGTAACAAAAATCACATATGAGAAATAAAGAACATCGAAGTGTTCGTAATGGAACCTGAAACGGATCTGACGACAGAAGAACGCCAAGAACTCTTGAATAACACTAAGAAACTCAGCGAGATATGTTTTCTTCTGAAAATGCGGACTTATGCCGATATCTGCTATTAAAGATCTTGTAAAGAAGTGGGATGATGTCAGAACAACGGTCTTAAAATGGCATCCAAACCAGGTTGAGGCTTGGGGATTTCTACAATTGCAATGCTATTAATTACTTACAAAAAATCCCAAAGAAGAGAGAAAAGCAATCGACATTAGACAGATTCTTTAACCCTTTCAAACTGAAAAAACATGACTTATTAGTCATGTTTCTTCAGTTTAATGCAAGACTGTGTATGTATGTATTTTTATTATTACATATAAATAAACATAGTAAGAAAGTATAGCCTATATTTTTTTATTTTGGGGAGTCTCCAGAACGAATTAATTAAATTCCCATTAAAATCTATGGTAAATCGATAATCGGTTAACGAACAATTCGGATAGCGAACAAAGTCTTGGAACGGATTATGTTCGTTAACCGATCACCCACTGTATTGATTTTCTTAAAATCTATATTTTCAACTGATCATGGCTATATTAAACAAATTAGATAATATCAAAATTTGCACTTGTTGGACTGCAATTTGGAAAAACTGTAGACCTATCAAGTCATTAGGTCTATCCTTTATCTCGAGAATAGAATTAGATAAATGAAAGTCAAGACCAGATGTTAAAAGCTTAAGGGCAGGAGGCCCAAATTAACTATATACAAACTTATGGTTTGCATTGGAAGTGACATTACTGTATTTCAATTCGAAAATTTTCCTCTGAATGGAGTTACAGATGACTGGCATGACACTAATGCTAACAGGAAAACGGGCAAGACACTAAAAAATTTAGAACACTGACAAAAAATTACAGCCCGGCATTGTGATAATGCCACAATAAATATTTACTCATTATTATATTAAATTCAAACAAAATTAAATATGATTAACTGACTAATTAATAATCAGTATTAGAAAAAATGCATATTTATAAAAACTCAAATAGCAGCCTTTTTTTCTAACTGCAGAATTTATGAAGACACAATAATAAAAACCAATAATACTTTTCCATCATAGTTTAATTACTGAATGAATGTTTTCAGCTCCATTTACAAGTCTGCTTCAGATTTATACAAGAACTTTCTATTATTCTAAAATTAAAATGATACTTTGTTCTATGATTTTTTTTAAGAGTTTAAAATATAGATCACTCATGCTTTGAACGCTGACAAAATCACAAAGCTTGAGAAATTATAACACACATAAAATAAATATAAATTATAATATGACTATCACCTAATTATGCTCTCTTCTGTGGGTTGTCATAAAACAATTGCCATGCCATAGATACATTTCACATTCTACTTCCCTAGTTGCTTTATAAATTTCTAGTGTTTCTATCAATCCTATGTGGCGTTCAGCATAAAATTGAATCACAAATCACACTTCAGGAAAAACAACAAAATGTCAAGCTTCTGTACAATGGGAGTCCCAAGCACCACACATCTAGCAATTTAATGACATCAAATGGCAAGTTTGGGAAAAAAATTGGGAAGTGATATTGATAACTGCAGGCAAATTTGTGCAACACTGCCCAGCATTTCCAGATTGGGATTTTTTATTGACTGACAAAAATTTTGGGATGACTTTTTTCACTTCAATCTTTTTTCAATAGACTAAAAGAACAATTCTGGCATGACAGAACATGTGAAATACTGTTTAAACATTGTGATCAAATATCTTATTCAGAATTATTCATTAAAAAGTTATTCAAAAATGAATCCTATTGCTAGCAAGGGGAGGGCCAGATGTTTGGTCTCTGATTTGAACAAAACTTGGTGAGAAGGTAGCATTAAACACAAACAGCTCGTCATCCAAATAACAGGACCCACTTTTCAAGCATTTCCAAAAATTGGGCCTCTGAAAATTTAGTGTTTAGCTTATAAGTCTTTGGAAGTTTCAAGTTTTGAAGACAAGTGTTATGAAAATAGGGTAGCAAGTCTCAGTGTTTTAATTTTTTAATTGTTAATATTATGAACAATTTCCTCATGCACTCATGTTTGTTACACTTCAAATGTCACAATACCACCATATCTAAAAATAAATATGAAAAAAATTTTATTTAATAACTTAAGAGTTAATCCACAGAGGCTCATTTTCAGTAAACAGGAAATGACATTTTATAAGCTATAATGTGAGAAATAATAATAGTAATAATAATGCTAATAAATAATAATAATGTGGGAAAATAATAAAATAATAATGTTACACTAAGGCCCTGTACACACTAGGCGTTTTTCAACGCGCGTTAGCTCGGCGTTCGACGAGCGTTAGTTCGGCGTTTAGCACTGGCTCAGTTTGGAAATGGACGAGAAAGTAATTGATTGTGTGTGCTCCTCCATCGTCGCTATAAGGCAGCACATATATCTCAAAGCGCCCGTAAAGTGCCCGCAAAACGCGCGTTTTAACAAAAATCTATAAACGCACGCTTGGCGTTTGAGTGTGTACGGCTACATAGAACTCTTGGTTCTTTAAAACGCGCGTTTAACGCACGTTGAAAAACGCCTAGTGTGTACAGGGCCTAAAAACACTAAACTAAAATTTCAAACCTTCATCAGCTAACTGTAGTGCATAGCATCTTATTCACTTGGCCATCACTACTCTTGAATACGAAACTTCCAAGCACTAAATTTTCAGAGGCCCATTTATTGGAAATGCTTGAAAAGTGGGTCCTATTATTTTGACAAGATGCTGTTTGTGTTTAAGACTATCTGCTCACCAAGTTTTGTTCAAATTGGAGACCTGAATGTCTGGCCTTCCTCCTCTTGTAAATGTCAGTTTAACATGTTACTTTTGCTTTCCACACACCAAACTGATAAGGCTACCACACCTGCATTAATTAGTAAGTAAAACAGGTGGCAATAAATAACTTGTATCAGCAAAAATAAAATTAAAACTGGCAAAATGGCAGCAATATTTTAAAATTTTCCAGAGCGATCCCTGCTTCATGTTATTCCAAAATATTATATCTTAATTGTTGGAGGTCATGTTCTATAATTTGAATGCAGCTTTCCATTGAAAGTATTCTTTGTGTGTTTCTTTTACTCCCACTAACATTCTTTTGATATTAGGTAAGCACCTGCCTGGTGTCTCAATGTGGCATACATAGGGCTTTTTTTAATTTCTTTTTTTAAGAAATTTGGAGAGGAAATGTAATCCTGACATATTAAAGGAAGGTCTGTAATTGGAATGTGTTACAGCAGTTGTTTACTCAGAATTCATTTTGCCTTTCTCACATATCAATGATGTAGTGAAGCCAAGACCTTATTCTCTAAGTCAGGGGTTCCCAGCTTGTTCCATGGAACTCTAGGGGTTCCACCAATAAATCCATTGAGTCTAGTGATGTATGAATGTGTCAATGCAGATTTGGGATGCAAGGTGTAATTGTTGTAGTCTCAGACTGAATCCTCTTATGACATCCTATATATGTGCTAGAGTTATTTATAGCTTTATAAACAATGGGGACTGATTTATTGGTAATGGAATGAACCAAAATCTTGATATAATGTTTAACGAGATAATGAAAACAATAAAAATGGTAAAACTTAACCTAAAGCTAGAAAATCGTTAAAAAATATAACCTTAAAAATGTCCAACATATAAATTGTTAAATATGCTTTAATTCATTGATATCTGCAGGGCAAGCCTATTCAATCTAATGGCAGGAATGGCCAGTCAGATGCCCAATGATACTGTACAAACTATGATAACTAGTGATGGGACACTCTTATCAGATGAGTATCACATGTTGCCAAGGAGTTAATCCTTCACATTAATGACTAGTTTGAATTAACTAATAATATATGCTTTCCATTATTATTATTTTTTTCTTTTTGCATTTTCAATAAATTGTTTTTGGTGTTTCTATTTTATGTTTTATCTATAATCATTAAAAATTGTCATGGTTCTGACATTTTTGCTAAGGTGAAAAAGGTTCCACAATAAAATTAAGTTGGGAACTGCTGCTCTAAGTCAATGACTCTTCTATTAACATTGGATCTCTTGTAAAATGTTCATTTAGATGGTTATTCAAACCTAGAGTATAGGTATTCCTTATATAACATGGAGTTACATTCCAAAAAATGCCGTGTTATGCAAATCCATGCTATACAAAATAAAAGACTAATGCAAAACATAGGGTTAGGTTCCAAAGGTTAGCAAAACAATCAATAATTAACTAAAAATCACAATTAAAAATACTGTATTATGTGTTAATATTAATTTTAGTTAAAAGAGGGCATTTTTTTTTTTACCAAGTATTGTCATCTTCTGAGCTATTTTGCTAATCTTGATAAAAAAAAAATATCGCAATGTCTTCATTTTTTTTTATTTTTATCATAAATTTTTATGAATGACAAAATAAAAATGTTATTAATTGAAAATTTGCGTACTTATGGGTTAATTAAGAGATGCCAGTCGGAAATAGCATTTTTTCCGAATAATGCAATTTTTTATTTATCAAATTTAATACAATTGTTAAATCAAACAATAAATTACAATTTATAAAGATATAACAAAATTTCACAAATTGTAACAATAAACCACTTGAATATGCAAATTGTTTTGTAGTGTATATGGCAAATAGGCGATATCTATCATCCTAATTAACCCTTTGCCCTTGAAAGTACCGATCAATCGGTACCCTCATTATTAAGCAAAACTTCAAGGGTACCAATTCATTGTTACCCTCGTAAAAATCGATTTTTATAAAATTTATGGACAACAGATGTCAGCACTTGACAGCAGTCTTGTCTATTGTCTGTTTTACATATTTTTCTCCAGGTGGTGTTTTGTTGACTTAAAAAATCTTAATTAATGCTTTTTTTCTTAATTTATTTTTTTCTGATAATTTTTTATTTCATTTTTAGCATATTCATGCAATAATATTACTATAATAAGTTCATTCATGCTATAATAAATTTATTTAGCTATAATAAGTCAACGTGTTATAAATATTCACATTGTGACCTTCAGTTCTGACATTTTATATATTTTTTATTTTAATCTAAAATATCAGCAAATGTTACATGTATTACTACTGGTAATCATATGTTTATTACAAAAATTTATATTCTTGTTTGATATGAAGTGAAAAAAGTATATTAGTTCATTGTATTAGTTGATAGCATAATAAAGTTTTGATTTCAAACAAATGTTTGATATAATGTGTGATACTTTCACAATGAATAAACGTACATGCATAAGTGTTATATAGAGTTGTACAGAACAATATTCTATGTCTTTCTGGCTCAGTGCCAGCAAAAAACTAGGTAACTAGACAATATTAATTTTGACAAAAAGTTACAAATTATCAAGTTTAAATGTCAGTTCTGATATATATTATTTTTTTTCTTATAAATTTTTCTAATAAAATGTGTTGAAAAATATCCTATTTAAAACTAAAGATATTAATAAATGTACGTGATTTTTTTTCATATGAATATAATGATAATTTGATTTTTGGTGAATTTTTAAAATAATATCGCCTGACTGACCTATATTGCCTTCGGACAGTTTACAAAATTAATGTAAACAAGATGGCAATGGTAAAGGGTCACTAACACTTACTTAACTGTTTAAATAAACTTTACTAAATATGAAGATTAATTTATAAAACAAAACACAGTGACAGTCTTAAAGACTAAAGTCTGAAACATCAACAAAAGCACTTGGTTGATAGGAAAGCTAGAGCAAGGAAGAAAAAATTGTACTAACAGTTTTCATTAAACCTGACATAAGGCACAGAACAAATTGAAAATTTCAATATTGTAAAATCCATGGATAAATTTGAGATGATACATACGCTTACTTGAATACAAAAAATCAAACAACAGATTTTGCACTTAAAAATTGTAAAATTTTGTTCAGACAATTTCCTGAATTCTCAAATCATGTTAAAGCAAAACAGTGTTGTACAGTACAAGGGATTCCTGTATCTTAGTGTTCCATGTAGCTTTCCTAAGACAACAAAATTTTACTTTGTTGGGATTTACAACCTCCTGGTAAATGAATCCTGAATATGGATATCAGGAAGTATTATTATTCACCATATTGAGTACAGATTCCAAAAGAAAGTTCAGTTTTGCCCTAGTTCTTGTTAGGACTAATATCAATTTCTTGTAGGATGCATTGCCATATATGCAAAATATCAATTCAAAAAATGGAACAGAGTCCAACACAATAATAGACCTGAAGTAGACTTCTAAATAGAGCCAAAAACATTTGTCCAGTAATTATATTAAACCTAAGCTGGAAAAATGTTACTGGCTTTTATTACTGTGTTGAACTCTATTCCAGTTTCTTTCAGTTTATGAAGGAACAGATGCAACCGAATCTTAAATATAAAATTCTTCTAATTTATATTAAAAGTTTTTGACGGTAAATCATAATTTATAACATTCAGCAATTTACTAATCATCATAAACTATGTCAAATTTTGAACATAAATAATTTAGGAAAAACAAATTGAAGAAAAATTAATTAATTATTTTGGTTTTATCTTTTCTTATTATTGTATAGATTTGATATGAATATTCTTGTTGGTGTCGTATAGTCACAATTAAATTTTATTACAGTTAAATATATTTGTTTTATAATTGCATATACAGTCGACCCCCCTATAACGTGGTAGATACGTTCCACTTTACAAGAATTTCGTGTTGTAGGAATCCTTAAATACATGAGCCAATCACAGCCCGGCACGTATGCAGTTTATGAACTACGGCTGTTTGAAAGGTTTTCTTCCATAAAATTAATCGATTCTAGACTAATTTGACTCAACATTTCCAAAACGCATATAATTTTTTGGGAATAATCCATATAAACTATGCTATAAACAAAAAATTGTAGGATTACTTACCAAGTGTGCACCATTCAATGATGCCATTGCTTAAGCTTGTTTTCGTCGCAGAGCAGCGCACCAAACGGCGGGCGCGTATTCTGATAAGTTATTTTTCTGCGAAAAATTTTTTGAACTTTGGAGACATCATTAATAGAAATAATTTTTATGGCCGTTGAATAAGAAATGCTTTTTTCACAAGAAATGTATAAAATTACAGTACTGTATTAGACTTACAATACCTAATTTATATACTGTACAGATGATAGTAAACTCAACTTACCCGCCTAAACTCTCCGTAGTGTGTAAGTAGTTCGGCTGCTCGTCCACTATTGGTCCAGATTTGACCAATCCTGTCACGACACAAGTCGGCGATGACGTTTTACCGCATTTTACAAGTCTCTTTTAGCATCTTTATATGAATACAATCGCAATTTTTTCACTGTGATATACGAATCCACATTATGGGGGGGTCGACTGTAATATGTACCACTGCACATTTGTCTATTGATTACAGAAGTTTTTTCATTTACTAATTGTTAAAATTTACTACGGAATTAGCAAAAAAGTGCTTGATCAAAATTATCAGCCACTCTGAGCCCAAACAAAATTACTCTAATGGTGTAATAATCAGAAAGAATTATTTATTTGAGAGAGCCTCTACATAACAGTTATAACACCCTGCAACCCCCAACCCTTGAAATCCCACATTTATTCAAACAATTCAATCAACAATTTTAATTCCTTTTTTTGCATAAACAGGTTTGCTTTTGCTATTGCACGCTATGTAAATCTTGGGAAATTACACCACTCATTATTATCATATATTTTTAGAACACCGTTTTTATTCAAATTCATTTTATATTCCATCCACGTTCTATATTTAATTTCAAATATTGTTTGAAAACGTAAAATTTGATAATTGTTGTATTTGATATTCACCTGATGACAGTAACTTTATGCTACTGAAAGTACTAATGAACATTTTCATACACTAAAAGTTGATATTGGTAATGCCACAACACTTAAGTGTAGTTATTAAACATTTACTAATTACATATCAATCTCATTGAGATATGTAAAACAAATAGAAAATGACTAAAATACTTTGATTTTTCAATATTACTAATATAAAAGCTGTTGTCTGTGTGTGAATGCCTTATAATTCCTGCAATTTTGTCCAATCCAAATGAAATAGTGGTTATATTCATTTTATGTTCCAATGGAAAGTACAGGCTACTTATTTTGTGGAAATATTAGCTATAGAATAAATGTTTTATCAATTTGGGATTGGTGATCACACTTAGGAGTGACATTAGTGACCATGTGATGTTCAAGCTTGATGAGGGAATTTCCCCTAAGTTACATTTTTAAATATTTTGGTAAATGGCATATTTTAAACTTGCTTCATTAAATTTAAAATTTAAAAATGATAGACGCATCGGGTCACTTTCTTTAAAAAAATCTTTCTGTAGCGACCACATGACATTCTGTTATCCAATCAGAAGTAATGATCTAACAAGCCCGTTATTTAGAAAGTGTTATCACTCATCTAATTAATGTATGCACAATTCATCTTTGGACTAAATTATCAATGTGGAATTAAAATGACTCACTATTTTGTCAAAAAAAAAAAAAAGCAGCCTACAGGAAAGTGTAAGTGTAAAATTAATCAGGTAACTTCTAGATCTGAACTAACTTAGGAATAAGAACACCCGAGACCCCTGAAGGCTGTGAAGTGTGACTTGAGTAACATCGAGTAAGAATGGCTTTGACAAGGGCTACAGAAAAAGCATCACAGTTTGTCCTAATTCTTCAATCTCTACTTTCTTATAAAAAATATTCTGTCATGCTTGACTAGAGAATTTCTAGTATCTCATATTCCTTATATACAATAAACACTGGAAAGTCTATACTAAAATTTAATTTTATGAATTATGAATACTAAAATATTTTGTGTAATATTGAATTAATCTGCTAAAAAAATGCATATTTAAATTATCAGATAAATGAAGCATTAAATAGATGCTTTAAATACTTACAATGCAGCTAACAAGATTGATTTTTCATGAACTTGATATGAACAGAGAAAAAATATGAGAGATGAATTTACCTATTAAATTAAAAATATTAAATTATTCAATGAAGTTGCAAATAACTTTTTAAAATTTGAATAAGTATCAACATAAAAATTAAATAAAAGTTACCAGAGATAGTCGGAAAATAGGGATGGATGGATGATGTAAAAGATGAAGCATGGATGGAAGTAACACAGTTAGAGTAGTTATACCACTAAAAATATAATTTTATAAAGAATATAATATTTATTCATAAACATACCTTAAAAATTATTATTAATTATGATTATAGTTTTTGAACAATTTACCTGATTAAAGCTAATGTTGAAACTGAAAACAGTTGTTTTAGTTTGATGAAAACTGATAGACAGTACCACACATTTGCCACTTTATCCTATTAAAATTATTTTTGTAAGAGAATTATCGAAAAATCTTAAAATAAATTCAGAGACTAAAAAACAAAATATATTAAAGATTTAACCTATTTCTATTTTCTTTTGTATTCCGTAATAAACTACATACAATACTTTCTACTATTGGGTTGTTTGGAAAGTAATTTCGTATTTTTTCCGTGGGAAAACACAATATTTTTATAATAAATAAATATTTTATTGAATTATATATCGACCATTTTGGTCAAATACCTGTTGCCATTGTTTCTGGTAGTAGCATGATTCCACATTAATAAAAGTTTTGATCTTTGCTTACAAAAAACTGATCCAAGTGATTTTTGACATTTTCATTTCAAGTAAAAAAATTTCAAGTTAAAAAATTTTGTATAGACCAGAACAAATAATATCTGAGGGTGCCTGATCTGGCAAATATGGTTGGTGTGATAGCACATCCCATCTAAGCTGTAACAGTTTCTGACAAGTTACCAAACTTGTGTGAAATTTGGCATTATCATGGTAAAACACTACACCTGTTTTGTTGATCAATTCTGGCAGCCTTTTCTGTTTGATGATATTACTCAATTTGTTTACTCAATGGCAGTACACTTTCAAATCAATTGTTAAATTGTCTGATAAAAGCTCAAAAAAAATTTCCTTAAAATCCCACAAAAGCAAGCAACTCTCTCTAAGAACATGTGGAACCCATATATTGAGCTTTGAAATGAAACCAATAATCATAAACGGTTCAATTCGACAAATTTAATGTCTTAGTGATTTCACATGTTATTATTTGGCAGTTTGTTTCAGTCAGTACTTTTATTTTGTTTTCATTGTCCATCCAGAATGTGGTGCATCTTTAATATTGAAATTGCCAGAACGAAATTTTGTAAACCAGTTTTCACACTGTCACAGTTTTGTCTCTCAACACATCTTCACCATACATGTACCACAATTTTTTTTCTTGCTCGAATAGCATTTTGATTTTTTAGTAATAAAAAGCAAAATATGCTGAAAATGATGATTTCGATTTTCCATATTTAATGGGACACCGAAAAGAAAAAACAATTGTACAGAATCAAACAAAATTTTTTACAAATAAGCCTTAAAATGTCAGCTATCAAAGTATATAATGAAAATTTGGTTTAAAATGAAATTGGCTGGTAAAAATACATCTAATTCCTCTAGTAATAAAAAAACAAAATTGCTTTCTGAACAACCCACTATAATAAATTGCCAAATAAATAGAAATATTATAAATTTTATTATTAGATATTATCTAAATAATTGCAAAAATCAAAAATTATTAAATAATATAAAATTATGTTTTTTAAATTTATTTCTAATTTTATGTTCTTATTCATATTTTGAAGTATTAACTTACTTATTTTTCAGTAATTTAATATCATAATCATAAAAATCTGTCCCAGCTGTTACATATGTATACATAACAAGGAAAAGTATTGGAATTGTGTTAGATTTGATACTTGGGAGTTTTTTGCAAATCTCCATGTTTTGAGATTTTGAGACCGCTTAAACCCAAAAACAGGAAAAAAAATTCCATTTGTATGTGTGCGTATATGTTTGGGTGTCTATTTTATTTAATATTTCGGGATGGAGTAATGATTAAAAAACAAAATTTGGCATGGTAGCTTATGCATAAAGGGTATTAATGCTATTAAAATTTGGTGGTTAAAGAGAGTGGAGAGATAAAATTGGAGTCACGTATCATATCTTGAGAGGGTCGGACTTAATGAAGACTAGCATTTGCATTTTTTTTTAATAAATCTCATCCCTACCCTCAAAATTAAGCTTTTTGCCATTTTATAATAATTGATAATATAATATTTTTAAATAAAAAAATATTGTAACAGATGGTTCACTATACAATTTAATTTATTTATATTTAATACAGTAATATAAAAGTTATTTTTAAAATAAACTCTCATAAGAAAGTTATGCAACTTATTGCTAGATTTCTTCATTCATATTTTATGGTTAAATATTTTAAATTACAATTATACATAAATTCTCTTTACTAAATAGGAATGGAGAGAAAAGAAAATATAGATATAACTGATTTAATATATTTTAAACATAATTATATATTTTAAAAATTATTATTATAATCGAAGAGTAATTGTCTTGATCAAAATAAATTTTACTAAATATGTAGAATAATGAATTTAAAATGCTAATCTGTACTCTACAAAACTATACATTCTTTAGACAAACTGTAAAAATAATTTATTTAGTTACATTTTTACCAGATTTATTTATTTTATTATACTATTAGATTTAATTTTATCACACTGACAGAATTAAAATTCAGTTTTATGTCTCAAGAGTCAGAGTTTGTTAGGAGGTTTAGGCCTATGCTATATATAATGAGGTTCAAAGAAGTGATGCAAAGTTCTACCACATTTTATCAATCTGCTTTTGGCTTTTAGAATAATGACAGATACAGTCTTTCAGATAAAATTTCCTATTGTGCATTAAATATTTTCATTAGTATTTTGTAGGTGTGCAATATTGTATTATAATTTATTGTTTTTATTTACTAGCTTAGTTTGATATTTGTAGTATAAATAATATTTATATATACAGTAGAGCATCGATTATCTGACCCCCGATTAACCGTCACATCGGTTAACCAACCGTTCTAGTCAGCAAATTTCAAATGTCCGCTAGAGATGTGGCACTACAATATTTGGCTATGTCTTGGCTACTTTAATATTATTTTTGTTAAATTTTTGCATGTTTTAGCCAGCAACACTGACTCAACCATTGCAGGGAGGCCAGTATTTAAACAAGACTTAATTTTCTAATTATGAGTGGTTGTTTGTTTTGTGAGCAATAAAATAATTTTAAAATAATTTTTAACAATACAATAGCGATGATTATTATTTAAAAAAAAAATTTGTTAGGCTTAACATCGATGAAAATTCAATGCGAAGTTGGTTAATAGCGATATACTAATATACTAATTACAAGGGATATACTAATATACTATACTAATAATGTATTTTTTTCATTCTTTTCGACCGACCTGAGTCCCCAATTGAGTCAGATAATCGATGCTCTACTGTAGTATTGATTTAAACATTTTATTATTTTAATGTTAGTTTTAAAATTACTTATTTTGAAATATTACATATTTGTTTTCTTGATGATTTTGTTATCGTATAAACAAAAATATTCTAGAACAGGAATTTTCACATGTGAATATATAGAAACCAAGACTAAATTATTCTGATGAGGCTGGATTAATTACTGAACTGGAATTCTGATAATTAATTTAATGTAATAGATATTATATATCTATTAACTATTGGACTAGTTCTAACTCAATAGTTAATCCAGTCTTATTATTTTCTCAAATGTAACAACCACAAAATTTTGTGCAGCTATCAGGCCAATTCTGCATGATTCTTCCATACTGGGAGCCACTTTTTGAATTTTTTACTCACTAACAAGGGAACTGTCGGAGTGGCATCTAATAAATTTTAATAAAATTTAGTTAATAGTTACGTTAAAAGTATACAAACTCTATATTAAATTTGTAGTATTCACTAAAAGAGTTAATCAGAGTTATTAGCAATCAAATGTCGTACTATTTTATATGCGGATTTTTAAAAGTGAAAGGGTCGCGGAGGAAGACGGCGATATTACATTTAGAATAAATTCTGGAATTTTCAAAAATGGGAGAAGAATTAATAAAATTTAGTTAATAATTATGTTAAAAGTATACAAAATTTTATTAATTCTTCAACCATTTTTGAAAATTCCAAAATTTATTCTTAAATGTAATATCGCCGCCTTCCTCCGCGACCCTTTCACTACTAAAAATCTGCATATTCGTATTAAACTACTATAAAATAGTACGACATTTAATAGTTATTAATCCTGATTAATACTTTTAGTAAGTACTACAGATTTAATATAGAGATTGCATGCTTTTAACATAATTATTAACTAAATGTTATTAATTCTTCTCCCATTTTCGAAAATTCCAGAATTTATTCTAAATGTAATATCGCCGTCTTCCTCCGCGACCCTTTCACTTTTAAAAATCCGCATATAAAATAGTACGACATTTGATTGCTAATAACTCTGATTAACTCTTTTAGTGAATACTACAAATTTAATATAGAGTTTGTATACTTTTAACGTAACTATTAACTAAATTTTATTAAAATTTATTAGATGCCACTCCGACAGTTCCCTTGTAAGTATGCTATTTTGAACAATGTTTGACTGAAGTTTATCTTAGGATAATAAAATCATAAATGCAAAGGAATGTGGCTTTTGTAAGAGATCCCATTACTTTTTCATACAATTAGACCAAAGAAAAATGTTTTCTGAGAATTCTGTTCTGTGATTATAAACCAATAATGCAAATAATATTAAACAGAAAAAATTTTCATTTCACATTTTAAAACAATGTTTAATGAAATTTAAAACTTCACAAAGAAAGAAAAAAAAAAAAACTAGGAATACTGCTGAATGGTTAATTTTAATTTTTGAAACACACAATTTAAAAATTAAATATATTTATAAATGGAAATCTTAAATATTATAGTCATTAGAGTTATATTGCTTTAATATAATAAATTAGTGTTAATATTGATTTCCATGCACAATTTAAATATCATTGCATATATGATTCAGATGTTAATTGTCCATAAGTTTAGTTTAAAGAACTTATACTTACTTCATACAAACCTCTGGCAAATGGAAAAAGTCTATGAACAACTTGAATAACACTCTGAAAATCTCTTAAAAATGGAGCCCAACAAACAGCTGTAGTTAAAATTACTACTAGTGCCAACTGGATAATTTTTTTAATTCTGAAAATTTTAAATGGAAACATATAATTACTAGTGAAAACATTTAAATATTTGTTACCTTTTATTTTGAAAATTTATTCTAAGTTCTAAATTTGCATATTAAACACATTTAATTTTAATTATGCTCAATATGTATTTGGTAAAGTTATATAAACACTTCTTAAATTATGAAAGATTTCTTGACTTACAGATGTCTATTCCTTTAAAGTACAATTTTACAGAAATTTTTCTGAATAAAATATACATTTGTATATAAAATTCTCTGCTGTTTTCTCTTCCTTCCTATCTCAAAATTGTTATTCTATTTTCTATTTTTTTAGTTTTTTAAGGAAAGTTATTTCATCATTTGTTTACATTTATGAAAAAATTATAAATGAATCATTTGCAACTGTCATTCATAGAGACATATCTGTTCTTTGAACATCAAAAAAGATTTTGCAAATTCAACCAAACTACTAAATACATTATTTCATAGTACAGAATACAAATGTAAACAGTTAACTCAATTCTTGATAAAGGCCAAATGATCTGCCAGATTATATCAGTTTAGAGTACTAAAAGTTTCTCTACTTTTAATTAAATGTATGAAAAACATCAGATACAGAAGGGAGATTACTTTCCATTTAACTACCTTCTTTATACAATGTGTCCATCTAAAAGACATGATAATTAGATTGATTTGTTCATTCTTCAATGATAATAAATTAAATATAGAATGCTTCTTAATTTTACTTTTCAAATATTAATTAAATATTTTAAAAACATTTCAAAACATTCTAGTAAACATTGATATTTTATGTGATTATATTATGAAATTATATAAATAAAAGTTTAAAAGCAACTTACCCTTCAGAGAATGGCTGTTGCCTACATTTTCCAAGAAGGTAAAAGAAAAATGGAAAAGCATGATATAGTTCCATTTGTTTATAATTTAGAGCAAGAGTAAATGCAATTGCTCCAACTAAATCCATATCTTCAATCAGAAAAAATATTGCCCATAAACATAATCCTAAACTAATGCAATTATATCTGAGAAAAGTTAAAAAAAAATACTAACAAAACAAACGAAGTCTATTTGAAAATATTATTTTTTAAATTTTAACATTAAATAAATAATTTCATTGTTATTATTATTCAAATATTTCAAAAGTTCCTAAACAACGGAAGCAGATAAATGCTACTTTTATCAATTGAAAACTTTAATTATAAATTTTTTTATTTTTTCTACATTGGCATATTTTATAATATGGAATGTTACAAAATAATTTAATCAAAATGTTATAAAAAGAAATGCTCTCATAATGTAAAAATATTTTATTTTCAATTAAAATTTAACTTAAGACAATTACACAATTATACAGTTATTGCACTACATAGATAAATGTAAATTTAAATTTACTCAAATTTTTGAGATAAAAATTGCTTTGAATAAAAATAAATTTACTGATTTAAGTAACATAATTATAGCATTTACTTTCATAATTTAATAAAAGTTATCTTTCTTTTTTTTTATTCACTAACACAAGGTGTGTTATCATTTCAACACTTGGCAGTATTCCATCTTTATTTAGTTGAATTTAGTTGAAGTCAACTAAATAAAGATAAAATACCACCAAGTGTTGAAATAATAACACACCTTGTGTTAGTGAATCAAAGAAATTAAGAAAACAAGGTTTCAGAAGATAAAAAAGTTGTCATTTTATTATATAAAATTTTTGATACTTTTATGAAAGCATATCAAAAATTTTATATTTGAAAAAACACAGAACAAATAAATGATTTTTAGATTTCTTTTCAAGATGTAATAAACAGTAGAAATGATGACAATGATGATCACATTAAAATATACGAGGGTAGATCAAATATAAATGGGACTTATTTTATGATTTAAAATTATTTATTAAAAAATAAAAAAACATTATGATTTATTTTTCTACATAGCTTCCTGCTATAGAAATACATTTTCCCCAGCGAGAAGGAAGGTTTCTTATTCCAGTATTGTAGAATGAAGTTGGTTGCGTCAGGAGCCAATTGTGCACGAATTCCTCCACTCCTGCATTAACTTCAAATCGCTGCCCTCCTATAGCTTCTTTAAGCAGCCCAAACAAATGAAAATCGCAGGGCGATAGGTCCGGGCTGTAGGGAGGATGATCAAGTGCAGTCCAGTGCATTTCGTTAAGTTTTGAGACTGTTAGAGCTGCAGTATGGGGCCTGGCATTGTCATGGAGGAGAATGACATCTCGAATCGGTTGGTTTCTACTCTTGCACCGATATGCAGCCTTAGCTTTATCCAACAGCTCGCAATAGTAAGCAGCATTGATTGTGCTTCAAATAATGTCTCGAACTGTTCGAATGTTTTTGCTTGTGATGCTGGTCCGAGGACAGCAATCGTGTTTCTTATTTTCCACTTGTGTCCATCCTTCCTTGAACTTTTTATGCCAGGCCACTTCTTGAACATAGATATTAGAATTGAAAGGTCAGACATATGCATGCCAGTTTATCATAAACTGTGTGCTATCTCCACTTATATTCCAATTGGATCATGTGATCCTTTTCCATATAAGATAGCAGCATTCAGAGCCTTGGTTAGAAAAGCATTCATGCATTCCACTCCACAAGTGCTAGCACAGGAATTAAGACACATAGAAGGGATAGCCAGGGTGCATGGTTACAACCACCTTATACAAATACTAAATACAAATACGTCGTATTAACCTTGTATAGCTTTGCAGTTAACCCTTTCTCTCTGAGGGTACCGATTGGTTGGTACCTCCCATTGTTAAGCAAAATCACGAGGGTACTGATTCATCAGCACCCTAGTAAAAATCGTTTTTTGTAAAATTTATCGACAACAGATGTCAGCATTTGATAGCAACGTCTTGTCTATTGTCTGTTTCACATATTTTTCTCCAGGTGGTGTTTTGTTGACTTAAAAAATCTTAATTAATGCTTTTTTTCTTAATTTATTTTTTTCTGATAATTTTTTATTTCATTTTTAGCATATCCATGCAATAATATTACTATAATAAGTTCATTCATGCTATAATAAGTCAACGTGTTATAAATATTCACATTGTAACCTTCAGTTCTGACATTTTATATATTTTTTTATTTTAATCTAAAATATCAGCAAATGTTACATGTATTACTACTGGTAATCATATGTTTATTACAAAAATTTATATTCTTGTTTGATATGAAGTGAAAAAAGTATATTAGTTCATTGTATTAGTTGATAGCATAATAAAGTTTTGATTTCAAACAAATGTTTGATATAATGTGTGATACTTTCACAATGAATAAACGTACATGCATAAATGTTATATAGAGTTGTACAGAACAATATTCTATGTCTTTCTGGCTCAGTGCCAGCAAAAAACTAGGTAACTAGACAATATTAATTTTGACAAAAAGTTACAAATTATCAAGTTTAAATGTCAGTTCTGATATATATTATTTTTTTTCTTATAAATTTTTCTAATAAAATGTGTTGAAAAATATCCTATTTAAAACTAAAGATATTAATAAATGTACGTGATTTTTTTTCATATGAATATAATGATAATTTGATTTTTGGTGAATTTTTAAAATAATATCGCCTGACTGACCTATATTGCCTTCAGTTTACAAAATTAGTTCAGTTTACAAAATTAATGTAAACAAGATGGCAGTGGTAAAGGGTTAATTTTAGAATGTAACACTAGCGTTTTTGAGCCATTTTAGAATCTTCTTCAGATGTTCTATAAATTTTTCTGGTGCAATCCGAGTTTGATTCCGATTTTTAAACGTTTTTAAACGTTCAGGTATTCTAGTCTCCAATGCTTCTAAGATGGAAGCATTGGAGACTAGAACACCTGAAGATCCTAGAATAGGTTGAAAACATTAGTGTTACGTTATAAATATTAACTGCAAAGCTATACAAGGTTTGTTCAACATATTTGTATTTATTATCACTTTGTTTGTTGGATGAATTTTATACAAATATCATGTGAACGCCACAGACGTACACAAACAGGATCTACCACTTTGATGGAAATACTGAGAGATAACCAGGAAGAGTATATGGAGAGGATCCCTCTCACTTTTAACTCCCATTTAAAATCATTATACACCATAATTGCCAAGAGATGTCAGGTCAGTACTACCTACTGGAGATCCCCTTCAATTTCAACATACTGCACTTAATGGAAAAGACCCCCTCTAACCCCGACAGACTACTGAGCATTTATAGCGTCCCTATCAGAGACAACAGAAGGGATAGAGAAATGGTGAATGCTGGTGTGGCCGTCGGCCATATCGACATATGTATGTTAATTGTATATAGTTATAATTCCAATCTTCTTTTCCTTTTTTTTCTTCTATTTCCTTTGTCTGTTCCTTCTAGAACCTTCCAAATGACAGTTATAGCCTTTGGGTGGAATTAGCTGTTCTGAGAATCGGAAAGAACTATAGTTGTAGGAGGGACAGTGGAAAGATAGCAAGAGAGAGGAAGGCAGTATTGAACGAGACACGGAGAGAGCTAGACGTGTTGAAGGGAGCTCCGAATGTGACTTCGTGGTGAAGAACAAAGGAATTCTTCGAGAAGTCGAGTAACGGACTGAGGAGGAACCACGGTCAGATCTTAAGGCCTACAGGCACTTCGAGATAGATTGGGAAGAGCCCAAGGAAGTGGGCTCTTCCCAATCTATCTCGGAATCTCCACGATTAGAGATCCGGCGACTGGAGTGTTGAAGACCTTCTGGAAAGCAAGGAGAGTCAAGAACATAGTGGAAGTGAGAGCCATCGTTGTTAATAGAAAATCCTACCCAAAGCGCAGAGACATCAGAACATAAAAGGAAAGGCCCGGGTGAAGTTATCTTTTTCTTTCTTTTACCTTCCCACTGTCCTGTCTTCCTTATCATTTCCTTAGTATTAACTTAGCCTTAAGTTAGGATTAAGTTAGATTTAGTTACGCGAATATAAAATATTAATTGTTACGCACTAGGAGGACGTCATACCGTGAATTATTGTAAAACTGAAAGGTTTTCTGTTGATACCCCTTGCATTGTAAAGATTTCATACATCAGTTGGGATTCCTGATAAAACCAAACCTGTTTGTATTGAAATAAAGGAAAGTGTTTATTATTGTAACTGTCACAACGTTCCTTTCTGTGCGTTTCATTCGTGGATCGTACTATTTCAACCACACGAACACCACACTGGCTCCACTAAACATTCAATGGGGGTCAGGATACAGGAGTATAAATCTGATATACAACATAGTAGGAGTACATTCTCTCATAGTATGCACTCTCCACTTACATGATGAACCCGGATATTACAGCAGATTTCCCCGGAGCCTGAATTATCCTTACCACCCTGCATCTGGAACACCTCAAGTGGTTGGAGGTGATCAAAATTTTTAAGGCTTGCTGCAGAACTGCCTGCATTAATTTTAGGTAGGAAATGTGTCTTTCAATGGCAGGTTTCACTAGACAACAATATTTAACCTTTCAGCAGTGGGTTAGTCAGGTATGGTGCTATCCCTATGTAGTGGAGAATAAATGTGGGAAGTTTTTAAAGTATTTTTCCATGCGTTTTTTTCTCATTACTGTTTTGGAAAAAGATTTTGTAAACATATCTAGTAAAGAAAAGTCTTTTTTTATTGTTACACAATTGCATTTTTATGTGAATTTTTTTTTGCAGTATTTTTTCGCAATATCCACAAAATTTTTTTGCAGATATATCCGTCCTTCACCACTGCCACACAATCACCCTTGATGAATATATCTGTTGGTCACTGCTGAGTGGTTAATTTTCAATCTTATTTAAAGGAGAATGCACGTGCAGAGGTTTTCTACATTTGAATGCATCCTATTGTTCAATCTTATTTAAACATCTTACAGAGAACACATGTGCATACGATACGTGACATCATTCAATTTTATATTTGAATGTTAATTGCCAGCTTGTTTTGAATTAAAAAAAAAAAGCCTGAAGAAGAGGCCAGAAGAGGTTACGAAACTGTTTGTTACTCTAACATTAATAATATTAACACCGGTTAATGGTTGATGGTAGTAGTATTTTATACTCATCCTGGTGTGTTGTGCAGTTAAGCACCAAGGTTATGTTTACCAAAGAAAAACTTCTAAGAAAAACTTGACTGTTGTCTATATTGTAATAAGTTTTTACTTGGTGCAAATTTTTTTAATTTCAGATGTTTTTGTCTGAATAACAATTGTTATTTGCTTAATAATTGTATTATTACATCAAGACATAAAATGATTACAAACAAATCAGTTGATGTTCAGCAAACAGTGACCAATTGCTTTCAACATTCATTTCGGTTGGTGCCAACCAAACACTTTCAGTATGCCATTTAGAAAAATCATTATAAAAAGTTTTAATTGACATAAATTTTAGCTTTTGTTATTCTGGATAACATTTTGAATAAAATTCATTTGTTTCAATGCAATTTTATCTTTTTAAGCATAAAATTAAACCATAAAAATGAAATAACTCTATGGGGAAATCCCATGAGCTTTGACCTATCGACCTGAAAGTTTTACTGGTACCTCATTGATAATGAGAAAGGTTTAAGTACATTTGAGCTTTCTAAATCCAGTAGTTTTTTTCTGGGAGCATCTGCAGTACTAGATGAAGAAAAAAGAAAAAAAGTTTTTTCTTGGTGATTTTTGCACTTTTCAATTGCTTATACTTCAGCAATTGCTTTATAGAGAATCTTGAAATTTTGAATACTACCTAAGGAAACAATTATCTTTTGAAGGAGATATTTGGAATTACTTCAAGTTTTTGGGGATGGAGAAATCAATCCCCAAAAATCAGCAACTCTGTCAGTGACTTTTTTACTTGGAAGGAAGTCACTGCCATGATTCTTGATCATTATGAAATGACCCAATTTTAGATGCTATGCTTAATTTTTTATGCATCAAATATTGTATTTCCTTTATGAAATTAAAACTGTCTCATATACTAATCATATTATGATAAAATGTATGAACTTTGTTGTTTGCTATACATGCATTTGAATTATCCTTGTTTAGTGACTTCAAAAAATTTATTAGAATTTATTGCATGACTAATTAAAATATTCTTTTTTTTTTTTTTTTGTATAATGTTTTACAGAATTTTATATTATTATTTTCAGAAAAGTTTCTTTTATGCTTTATATACAAATATTTACAGTACTTAATATACTTTAGCTAACTATAATATATTATTTTCTATAAATGGAACAAAACTGAAATTTCAAACATTGGTATTAAACATAACATAACATTTAATAGAATTATACTTTTTTTTAATTAAAAAAAGGATACTGAAAATGTCCATGATCAATTAATATAAAACCAGGGTAAAGCAAAGTGATTGTAGCAGCTATGGCCTGAAAACAGCTTTTGTTAAACTAGACTTCTCATTATTTTTAAATTCTTAAAATCAGTAATTAACAGAAAATAAAATGCACGATTATTACTATTATTATTATATAAAATTTAATTTGATTATAAAATTATAACAGTTTAAAATTATTATTTTAAATTGTTATAACTTAAGCAAATTTAAGTAATTACTACTGCAAAAAATACAGAACTAAACAAATTTATAAATTTTATGCCATTTACTGTATTTTAAATCAGCAGATTTCTGCTATATATAACTTTATATCTTACATACAGTATTTAAGTCATAAATGAATGAAAATTTAATTAACTTTTTATTCATTGAACCTTTACTATGATCAAATAGCTAAATCAAGCTGAGATAAAAAAACAATGTACTATTCTATGTATTATTATATTCTAAAATGAGATTTAACTAAAGCTGAATTTAGAATTCAGAAATCTGATAACATAACATTATACTTAATGGCTAAATACCTGCTTTTCATAGAGTAATACAAGACACTATTTTAACACAAACCCAGCATTAGACAGCAGACATTTATTCATCCATCATCAGCTCAGAAAGAACAAAATTACAAAATTCCTTATCAAACATTCTAATAAATTCAAACTTATTGCAGAAAATTTAAATTCAAAATCAAACATTCAAGTTCCAAACAATGCATAAATAGTTAATCAGAAAGAAAAATAGTAGTGTATATAAAAACATTTCATTTGCTGTACTGTACAGGTTCATACATTGTTTGATTTTGAATTTAAATTTTATGGAATAAGTTTGATTTCATTTCAATATTCCATAAGGAATTCTGTAACTTGATTCTTTTTGAGATGGACTCTGATGATGGACAAATGAATGTCTAAAAACACTTACATATATTATATAACAATATCATAGACTAACAGACAAAAGTTTACTTAAACTCTCTATAAAGATTCCGTTTCATGATGTTTAATGACTTTTAATAACAAAATATCAATTTGCTTTCTTTATTAACATCATTCAAAACTGTATTGGCTAAAAAGTTGAAATTCATACTCCAAATTAACTCTCTTCATTTATTTTAAATGACAATTTTATTATAACAACAGAATATATGTATAAAATATTATTACTCTTTGTATTCATAGATATTCAATTCATATGACAGAATGAATATAGGCTTATTCATTAAAGAAAATAATATACAGAGTATGTACAAATTATTGGATGATTTCATAAAATTATATTTTCACTGGTATTAAATAGAAATACATGATATTACCACCATTTGAAAGAAGGATATTTGCAGTTTTGTACTGATCTTAAATACATTTGATGTATGCATTGTCAGAGATGTCAGGGATTACCTAAATGAACTCCTACCAGGTCAACAAAATGGTTGTGCAGCAACTGCAGACAAAACCTTCCACACATGGATATCGTGGTCACCAGATATCACAATGTGCAATTTCTTCCTGTGGGGTTTTGCTGAGGACATTATTTACATCTCTCCACTTCCAACAACATTGACAGAATTGAAACAGGTCATTTCACACCGCTATTTGTAACGTCACACAAGACATGCTTGAAAAGATTCGATACAAATGGAAGTAATATCTAGACATTTGCTATACTACATGAGGCACGCACTGAAAGCATTTAAGGTCAATACAAAAATGCAAATATCCCTCTTTCAAATGATGGTAATATCATATATTTTTCTTCAATATTAGTGAAAATATAATCTTATGATACTAGATTGCTTCTTGTTCTTTCTCTTGTTTTTTGGGATTAAGCATAAAATTGCTATGTAGAACTTATCACACAGGAACACTATTTGATGAATAAAATAGAATTTATTTTGTACAGCAGAATGGATGTGCATTTCAGGCTATTTGCCCCTGTTCAGTCCTTATTGTACAATTGTTAAAACTGAAATAAATTACAGTAAAATTAACAATTAATTATATCATGCATATGCTTAAAACTCAGAAAAAATAAGATTACCTGAAATGATATTTACATGTGACTATGTTATTCCAGAATAATGTAGTATTTAAAACAAAAGAGTAAAAGGGAGTAAAGCTAGTAAAACTATTGTGTTATTCAGAAAGTAATTTTGTTTTTTTTTACCACCAGACGGATTAGTTGTATTTTTCCCGCTATTTTCATTCTAAACTGTATTATCATTACATATTTTGACAGCTAGCATTTTAAGGCTTATTTGTAAAAAATTTTGTTTGATTTTGTGCAATTGTTTATTTTTTGTGTCCCATCAAATATGGAAGATCGAAAATAGCATTTTTGGCATATTTTGCTCTTTTATTACTGAAAAGGTAAGAATGCTGTTCAAGCGAAAAAAAAATTGTGTGAGTGTACGGAGAAGATGTATTGACAGAATGACAGTACCAAAACTGGTTTACAAAATTTCGTTCTGGCAATTTCAATATTGAAGATGCACCACGTTCTGGATGGCCAGTTGAAGCCAATGAAAACAAAGTAAAAGGTACTGATTGAAGCAAACTACCAAATAACAACATTTGAAATCACTAAAAAATTAAATTTGTCAAATTGAACTGTTTATGATTACTTGAAACAAATTGGTTTTGTTTCAAAGCTCGATATATGAGTTCCACATGTTCTTAAGGAGAGATGCTATCTTTGGTGGGATTTTAAGGAAATTTTTTTGGAGCTTTTGCCAGGCAATTTAACAATTGATTAGAAAGTGTACTGCCATCGAGTAAACAAATTGAGTAAGATCATCAAACAGAAATGCTGATTATAATATGGATATTCATGCTGGCATGAATATCAGCATATTATAATCAGCAAAAGTCATTTCTTGATTTTTTTGTAATTTCAAACTAATAAGATGAATTTTTGAAAAATATAAAATTGAATTTCTGATAATTTTAAATAAATTAGTTAGAAAGTTCAAGTAAACACTTTTCAGAAACTGGAATGTTCTTACAGCAAACAAGAAACAACTTGCCTTATTTCTTTCCAGCAACAATTTTTATTACAATACAAACATTTTCAACCTCAATTTAGGGACCTGCTTCAGGATTTAAACTACTCAGTTTTCTGTTTGATATAGTTTCAAGCCTAAAGTAGGCCAGCAAATTGATGCCAAAAACATTTGAGTTATAATAAAAATTATTGCCAGAAAGAAGAAATGCTGTTTCTTGTCTGTTATTTAAAATTATTTGAAATTCATAAATTAATTCAAACAAACTGACATAATTTTTATTATATTTATAGCTAATATGATTTTCAAGAAATATTTATGAATGTTTTATTTGGATACTCTTTAGATCATCATAAATCTCATACAAGCACACTAAACATAAAAAACATTTTAAAACAGGTTTCAATGAAGGTAGTTCATTAATTAACTGTTGTCATTAAAGTATGTTTTAAAATGGTTTGAAATGCTTACTGTGCTTATATGTGATGTTATCTCTTTTCAACAGTTTTAATGTTACTTGTACTGTCATAATTTTTATGTAATGTAGAATTAAATACAGAAACTCAATAACAAAAAAATTTTAAAATCAGATTTCATAAATAAAAACTTGTGTTTTATGTTCTGAAATATTTCACATAAGATAGTATTGTAATTTTATCACAATTAAGATAACTTAAAAATATTGAAAATATTTTCTAACATTTTCTGTCTTATCAAATAATTATTTATAAAGACATATAACAAACATCACAAATCAAGTAATAATCCATAATGATCTAACAACTTCTATTCTAATTAATCTAAACTGTATTGATCTGAACATTTCAAAAGCATCAATTACAACTAATTGACTCTTAATTAAATAAAATTCATAAACTTACAATATAGGGAATGTTGATAATTGTTTTTGAAGCTTCTTTGCTTATTCTTCAGATTTTTGTTTCAAGGTTTTTGAAGTAACATTCAAAATACAAAAGTACAAAAAGAAAATTAGAAACAATATTCTGATCAGAAAAGAACAAAACCATTTGAAAAAGAAGCAAAATAGCATTGAAAACATTTATAAATAATTTTATACCTGACTCCTATATTGTAAGTTTGTGGAGTTTTTAATTAAAAATAAGATGCTAATGATACATTTCAAACTCAGCAAACTGACTTTACATTTAAAACCAATGCAAATTTATTTTCATTAATTAAAAATTTCCTTCAAGATTTGCAAATATAAAAACAGAACATCTTACTTTTTCTCTTAAACGATATGGTTTAGAAATTCTAGTCCAATATAAAATTATTGCAGGTATGTAAATAAGAATATCTGCCAAAATAACTGAAAAATAAAAAAAATAATGATAACTGTAAAAACACAAAATGATAAGAATCTATAAAAAGCAAAATATATATTGTAAAATTAAACAGAAAAATTCAATAATAAAAAGTTTCAACTTTGATTTCTTCAGCAGAAACTGTGTTTTGATTTTAAAAATTTACACTTTATCATTAATTAAATTTAATTTATANCTGTGGAGTCGGAGTCACGGAGTTTTGGTGTTTTAGCCGGAGTCGGATTGGTAAGGAAAAGTCGAAGTTGGAGTCGGTAGATTTTTACGCGACTCCACAGCCCTGGTTTTTATTGGTAAATCAAATATAAAACAGAAATCTTGCCAAAGTAAAATTGATAACAGTTGTTTGGTGTCCTATAATTATCTTTAAATTACTTAAATTACTTCTACTTAAGTACAATACAAATCACACTATACCTTACACACTTTTCCAGCAATAGTTTAATCAAAAGAAATGTTTTTCACCCCATTTCAGGTCTGCCTCAGGTTAAAAATATATTAAAATACAAACTAAAGAAAAGAACTGAGTTCTAATGATTGGACTATAAATAATATTTTAAAAATAGCAGTTATACGCTATATTTAAAATTTACAAAATTCAAAAAACAAAAGATTTACATATTTTAAAAGTTCTACAAACAAATAATTTATGTATCAAATTTTATACCTTTGTGTCCTTATCATATAGTTTTTGTACTTAAATTGTCAACAAGGACTTATTTATTACTAGGACTTTATTATACCAGTGACCAGGTTCTGCAAATTAAGAAAACAATTCAGAAAAAACAGTCTTTTAGTTTTCACCTAAACACATGTTACATGATATCACTGTGTTTTGGACCTGTTGGTCCCTCATCAGCAGGTTTGTGATCAAAAATTTCTAAAACAAATTATAAAATTATTACAAAATTATAAAAATTCCCAACAATAAAGTAAAAATGATAAAAAAATATCTTAAATAAATAAAACCCATTTACTCGAGCCTGTAACTATAATCTGGCTGTTTGGAAGCTGACCCAGTTTTGAAAATACAGTGCTTCCATTCCACCACTGATATTCGAATATACAATAGCAATCTTATCGGTTTTTTCACACGTAGTATAGAAATTTGTAATAAGATACATAATGCAGTTATAATAAAACATTAATTTTAATTAATCCAAAATACGTTAAAATATAAAAATAATTGCGCAATATGTATTTATTTTTTTAGAAAATACAAGGGAAATGGCACTTCCACAACTTCCAATAACGGCATGTCACTGGTATACATTTAATTAATGAGTACTTTCATATATAACCATCTTCATCAGGTAACATGGTGAATAGAATGTTATAAATCTAGAAATGAAACACATTTTCAAATTGCTCTTTGTGTAAAAGCACAAAACAAAAAATTTTTAGAAATAAAACTACAAAATTATATGCCATTACAAAATAAATGTGATATATGATGGCAATGGCTAATAAAATTAATTGAACTAATATACACAGAAATAATTAGTAAAAATATAAAGAAAATTTAAACAAAACAAACACTGGAGCTCCATTGTCACCAGTGTTTTTGTCACATAACTGCATGACCTATGATTTTAGCAAATTGAACAATGCCATCTATAACTAAGGAATATCAACTATGAGAGCATTGCATGAGAACATTGATGTAATAAACAGAGACTCCCATATGAACAAGATTCTCCTATCACCATAGCATTCTACCAGCAAAACTTGTGACCAAAGAGGACTGACGTTATATTCCATCACTTTTTTTTGGCTATACATGGGAGATGCTCAACAGAGCCTCTCCCATGTATAATATCTTCACGGCATTCTGCTAGACATACATGAAACATATATAGGCAGTGGCACCTATATAAAGTAAATTTAACCCAGTTAGTGGATTTTGTAAGTGTATAGTGTAAACTCCAGACTTTTCAAAAAGTGTAACCCCGTCTTTATCATTGCAAAGTATCCTATGCAATGTGGGCTGGGGAGCCAGTGGCAGTGTATATCCAAATTTTTTTAAAGCTTGGCATATATGTAAATAAGAGGGACCTAGATACGAGATGGCTGGCGATACAAAGACCAGTTCCTATTGTGCTGCCAGTCAAATTTTTGTGCCTGAGGGCTGAAAGGCAGTGGAAGATGGTTCAACAAATTTGTGAAAAACAAAAAAGGAAGGTCCAATAGGAGTTCTGTATACAAGTAAACCCAAGAAATAGATCTTTTTCTTTCTCTTTAGTAAACAAGATGGTTGGGAAACAGCCGACAATAATTGTATAAATTGTAGTAACTCACCCCCTGAGCCTTCCCATGATAGCAGCACATCACCCTCATACCGAAATATAGTAGGTAACATACAAAGCCATGGATCAAAACACTTCAAATTCTATGGCTCTCATAACTAATTCATTTAAAATAGCTGAAGAGGCAAGCCCATGGGCACTCCCTGTTTCTGTAAAAAAAAATACTACCATTGAAACATAAATACAGTAGAGCATCAATTATCCGAATATCAATCAACCGAAACATCAATTAACCGAAAGCTTTCCAGTCAACAAATTTAAATTTCTGCTAGTCCTGTAGTGTTGCAATCTTTGGCTATGTCTTGGGTTACTCCAATATTATTTTTGTTGGTGTGCATGTTTTAGCTGGCAGCACTGGCACGACCATGAGAGGGTACTTAAGGATGTGCCAGAATTTGAACAAATTTCAATATGCGATAGGTTAATATATTTTTTCTTACATAATTGGTTATCTGAAAAATTGATTTTCTGAACTACCCCAATCCCCAATTGATTCGGATAATCGATGCTCTACTGTAGTTATTTTCAGTAACTAATAAAAGAGCCTCCCTCAAGCCCAGTATTTGTGGTATGGAATACCCATTCTCCATCAATGAAGTGTTTGCAAGTGTTTGCCTCAGAATGGGGAACAAACAGATAAAATGACACCACTAGTATTTTGTATAACTAGTATTATTGGAGGAGTAACTCCAATAATACTAGTTATAAGAGACTTTGCCTCAAAACCAGAAGAAATGACAAGATTGGAACTAGCACAGTGATTTTCTTAGCAAGAGCCTTTTCTAAAAGATAGGTTTGATGGGAATGTTTGTTCACCAAAGGACAAGGGCCCAAGCAGATTTGTGTGTCTTCACTTCTAAAAAGAATCTGGTACATACTATGTTGGCTGGTGGATCCAGGAGTCCAGATAATGTTGACACTATTCCAGCATAACCTTTAATGATAGCCTTTACTTTTCTCAAAACTGCAAGAGTTGAATCTTTTGTTAGCAAAACCAATCCCGACTAACAGGATGTCATTAGCCCTACATAGGAAATTGTCATTTTTGCTCAGCACAAACTTTGTCTTTGTCAGAGACCAAAAGTCTAAGATTTAAACTGTTCAAGTAATTTGTCACACACTTCTTGTCTTTTCCAGATGGAGAGATAGGACGGGAGAATGTGCACTAGAAACTTTTGTAGAAATAAATAACTCCAGCTAGGAACGTAATTCTTTTTGTTGGCATCTGTCAAGGAGGTTTCATGTTGTGACAAGCTAAGTCAAGTTTCACTCATCAGAGCATGTTTTCTGGGAAGGGATGGTTGGCGTCATCCTGGACAAGTTGAGGCAGGTATGCCAACAAAGGCAGGCCCGATAGAAAACTCAGCTCAGTTCCTGATTCGTCAGCCAATAGATCTAGAACTTAGATATAAGGCAACACAACCGTTGGGAGAAGGGAGCCTAGCCTAAGATTATAAGGAGAAACAAGTCTGGACTAAGACAGTGTAGTTAGTAGCAATCAAAATGTATAGCTATGTATCTCTGTAAATAGTGTTAAATAAATAGACTTAATTTGTGTTCAAGGAGTTGTAAGGTGTTTTTTTTTGATGGACCGGAAATTGGAGACACGGTTTGAACTTTACTGCATCCTTTAACTGCTGCTATGGTGGTTGGAATTAATTCACTTAATAGTCTTTTGCCTTTGGTCTGTGACAATATGAACAAAAATATTAAAATAATATTGAAAAGTAATCTTCAAGTTTTGCAGTTTTGAAATGAAAAATGTTCAAGAAAAAAAATTACCTAGCATAACTAATGCATCATAAAATACAAGCTAGATATTTCCTGACTTTTACCATTTACCATATTACCAAAATACCATATGTTTCTATATTCAATGATTGATTCAACAGTGAATTTTCCATTGAGTCCCTCTGTTGAATGATCTGATGTCACATTTTGCAGAAAAAAGAAATGCTTTTGTTAAGAGAACGCTTTTCAAGATGGCTGACTTAAGTAACGAGAAGGTGGTGATTGTGTCTGTTTTGCTAATAAGCTTAACCATTATTCGAATAAATCCTTTTATTCAAATGAACCCATATCTGTATCATTTTCTTGTATACTGGGTCTTTCTTTAATAATTTTAATTAATTTCTTGAATATTTATATCATTAGAAAGACTTAGAGGGCCAAATATCGGTCGTAATCAATTTTGGACAAATGAAAACAATTTTAATATTTCAATATTGACCAAATTATCCAACATAATCGTGCAATCACGTTTTATCATATACAGATTGTTCATTAATCTGTCTGCTATTACAGCATTCACAGCAGCAAATGGATAGTTTCTATAAGTGAAATTTACTTTTTCATGGAAGCCGCCATGTTAGTTTGTTGAACACTTAACACTTTTTCAGATCATTGAGACATTAATTCAACGGTGAAACAGCGCTGACGTCACTAGTCTCAATGGAGAACTCGACGGTCCATTTAGAAACGTTGTTCTCTCAACGTTGAATATAGAAATGTACAGATAGAATGTAAAGCTCTCTACAGCTAACTAGTTGTGATTTCTTTTGACTGGGTGTTTTTTTTTTACAATTCCAAAAATTTTATGTCTGACTTCTAGTATATACATACTATAAGCATCCTCTATATATATAAGAAAACTATTTGTTAATTTATTTATTTAGTTCTTTCCCAACATACCTGTTGCTCTCATAAAAATCTTGTGATCATAACTTTCATAACCACGTGAAGTTTTTAAAGCTACCCACGATTTATCGAACCATTGAGCACTGTAAAATAAATTCACAAAAATTAAAANGAGAATTCTTCATTTTAAGGCCATTTTTTAAATAAATAAATAAATACTAAATTTTAAGTTAACTAGGAATTTTATGCTAAATACAAACAAAAACTTGAGTGTAACAAAAAAAATTGACGAGATGGAATTTTTTTTGGTATTTTTTTCGTTTTACCAAGTTGAAATCTATAAGAAAATGTATAAAAATCCTATGCAGGTTACTTGCAGACCTATGTTATTTATTTCAGTCAGATTAAAAATTTTTTAAATTATGATGTTAACAGTTAAGTATTACTTGATTTAAAATGGCACATGATATATTGTGGTAATTATGTATTAGTTTATTGGAAACTTTCATGTCTACAAAGCAGAGTGCATGTGATGTCTCATACATTAAGTGATGTCTGCCATCGTAGACTTTTCTTTCATATAGTCAGAGATGAGAGATTGCACTTGATTGGTATTAACTGTTCCATTTTAGGGAAAATAGGGGACATTAGGGTTGCTATCTGGCCAGCATTGGCCAGCTTAACCAGCAATTTATACTCTGTATGTAAAAAGCAAGATGTTCCATCAATGTTGTGCACAAGTAACGTTAATTAAAATCAAATTAATTTNTTTAATTTTTAAACCTGGTAATTATTATTTATTGGTAAATTATTGCCAAGATTTTTTTAAAACTTGGCAATAATTTACATAAATAACTAAAATAATTTTTTACATAATATTTACTTTATCATAGTTTTATGATAAAGTAATCTTAATTTGTATTTTTTAAATGATTTTAGATTTCAGTTCAATATACAATCTATACTTGTATATACTATATTTGTACTCGCCCAAGTAACTTCATTTAGATTTTATTTTTACTTTCCTGGATCTGTTATATGTATAACAGAAGAAAATATGCCCCCCAAGATTTTTAATTTTTGGACTCTGGACCTTGAAATGTCGAGAAATGCAAAAAATTTGGGAGTTTCTGTGTATGGATGTTGTTGGAGAGAGAGAGAGTGACTGTGTGTGTGTGTGTGTTGTTGGCAGATGTCACTTGTAAGGACTTTTTAGTGGGAACTGACAAAAAGTGTGGACCAAAAAATTAAATTAATGTTTATAAGCATTTCAATTAATGAAATTGAAATGCTTAAACATTAATTTAATTTTGAAATTTCAGTTACAGGAATTAAAAATAAAATATATTTTTTAAAAAAGGAAACAAGTAAATTTCGGTACAAAACATAATTGATGAGATGGTTAAATAAAATAATAATCACGGAAAATGTGTTTATTCAATTAATTTTAATATCTGAATGTACAACAACATTGTAATATTTTTAATTAAAAACTTTGCTTTTTAAGAAGTACTTATAAAATGTGTAATAATTATAGAATAAAGTCTTTAATATCAACTTTTAATGATAATACTTTCATCCATTTTGTTGCTTATGTGTCAGCTTTTAATGTACAGTACCTCAGAACAGCCATTTAAATAGCTAAAATCTTAATCTTAAATCCAAACATTTCATTAGTAAAAAGTGATATTAGAATTTATATTTCAAGCTACTATATTAGTAAACAATCTAAATATAGTACATATAAATTAATGAATATTTTACTTACATATAACCACAAAGTAAACTATGGTAGGCAGTAAGAGGAGGATAATCCAAACCCCAGTACAGTAAATCATTTTTTGTACTGTTTTGATACCTTTCAAAAGCAATAGTTAATGAATTAATTATATCATAAAAATTTTCAACTATAAAAACAAAATTATCATAAAAAGTTTTAAAATACAAACCATTCCTTAACAGGAAGATTAATAGTTATTTCCATCCAATGTCTTTGAGCTTCATAATCACCATACATGGGTGGTTTATCTGCACCTAAATATTTTATAAAATATCAGAAAATTCTTAAAATATAAGAACTCCATATGAAATTATTGGGTTGCAGTTTTCAAACTGCAAATACCTATATATTCCCACTCCATCTGTCCTTCATTAATCTCAAGAATAGAGTTAGATAAATGAAAATTGAGATCAGATATGGAAAGCTTATAGACCAGACCCCCTGATTAACTATATATGAACATCCAGTCTGGACAAGAAGCCATGTGATTTCTATTAAAAATTTTTATTTAAATTAAAATACGATTAAAAATTGCAGCCCAGCATCATGACAATGCCACAATAAGATAATTGCTTGTTGTTGCATAGAAATTTGTTAAATCTGGAAGTTTTAAAAGGTTAAGAAATTTCTCTGAAAGGCATTAGATAGATGATTGGCACAAATTTTAAAGGAAAAGGAAAAGTATGGTGTACAGGGGCAAGCCATACTAATTTGAAGGTAGAGAGCATATACTTTAAATTAAATAAATTAAAAAATATGATTAAAAATTGCAGCCCAGCATCATGACAATGCCACAATAAGTAATTCTGGTTTTTTGTTTTTTTTTAACTTCTGTTATGTTATAAAAATATAACTAGTTATCAATATACTATATTATTATTTAAAATATATGTGCATAAGAATAATTTTAAATGACATAGATGTTGTAAGACAGCTTCATCAGATGTTTACTTATAGAAGTTTATATTATGAAATTTTTTAAATTTATTTATCATTTAGTAATTTAGAATGATAGAAAAAAATCATTACAGAAATTGTGTTTAATGAACCAGTGCACTTGTCCAAACTTGTAGTATATAAAGTTGACACAAGGAATGCGTGAACATAAGTTCACTTTATTCAAACTCTTAGTCTTAATGTTCAACTTTATGTTCGAACTTATATTTATGAATGATTCAAGAAGATCCAACTTGTTTTTCAAATTTAGTAAACTAGAAGAAGAACCCAGAAGGGGTTACAAAAACGTTTGTTATTTATCACTTAGTGATACTATGCACTGGTTAGTGGTTGCTGTGAATCTTAATTATCGTTGTTGTAAGCATTTGTGGTAAGCAGATATCTAAAAATTTTCTAATTAGTCTCGGAAGAGGGGGACCTAATTCTTGCACTCAGTGAAAATGGGTAAAATCGGCTATAATCTAATGATCTTAACCTTTGCTATCATTTTTGTTCAAGCAACACTGAGCTCATCTGCTAGTACATTATAAGCCAAAAAGCAACAAAGTACATATGATCATTAGCACTTTACGATATGTTAAAAATTTTGTGTTTGTCCATCTTGGTTTGCTGTGATGATGTGGCATTTCTGGGTTTCTTTTGGTGAAATTGTCAGTATGAAATGTTACTATTACATGAGCACAATTTCAAGATGCAATATTCCTAAACATGTATCTGCAACAAAGGTGCGATCTAGAAAGTGTTAAGCCAGAAGTAGTTTCCCTCCACTAATCCGCGTACTACAGGAGGGCACTAATGCTCATCTGCAAAATTAGCAGTGAAAACTGTGATGATTATGCATTTAGTTTGCACAGCATTCAATGTATTTTTTAAATTCAGTATCCACAAACATTGAATTTTTAATTAAAGATTGAAAAAAATACGATGTTTACCAGACAAAGCAAGAAAACATCCATTATTCCAGGTTACAGATCTGCTAAATAGAGGTAAAATTACATTAATTTGGTGGGACTGAAGAGAAAATCCATTATTCTGAAAAATCCATTGTTCCACGATCCATTACAATGAGATTCTACTATATTTTAAATTAATTTCTTATCTATTTACAGCAGGTTTACAACCTTCTTTGCTTGTTGATCCTTTCCAAAAATTTAATTTTATTTACCAATCTTTCTATACTGATACAAAATAAGAATAAATTGCAAATGAAATTAAATAAAAATTCAAATTAAAATTAATTAATAATATTTAAACCATATGTTGCATCAATATCTTCAGTGGAGACATCTTAAAGAAGGAAAAAAGTAAAAAAATTTCGCTTCCAATCTAACATTTTTCTGGAAGATGAAAATAAATGAGAGAATATGATGAAAAGTATGATGAATTTAGGAAGAAAGAAAGATACAATAACAAAGAGTGACAAGGAAGTCATACCAATTGTGTTAAGGAGATATTATGAACAAGGATAAGAGAAACATATAGAAGAATCAAGGTGCAAGCAATTGAGAAGATCTTAAAAAAAAATAAAGGAAACAATACAAAGAATTAAGTATAAAAAGAATGTTCCAGAAGAACTAGAAGTTAAGATTTTCTTCAAGAGTTGTATCTCTTAGGCTATTTGGTTTGAGTCAGACACATAAGGGAAGGGTGGTGATTAGATTCAGTAAGGTGGACACACACCATCTAAATATATAAAATTACTTGTCCTGACTGACTGAATCATTCATCCATTGCCCAGAGGAAACTGCTGAACATAAAGAGGTGAAAGGTGAAATTCGGTACACTGTTAGGGTATATCATGAAAGCACACACTAAGAAGGGATTTTTCGAAATCGCCTGTGGGGGGAAGGGCATTAAGGCTTAACCTGAAGAACGGCTTCTACTGTACTATTTTAGATGCAATTTTTTGTTTTCAACTATGTTTAGTCTTCATTGAGTACTTAGGTGTATTAAATTGATAACATTTCAGACATTGTTATAAATAACTTTATATATTTTGATTTTTTAACCAAATGTTCGAACCGTTTTAAATTTGAATTTGTTATTGCATATTGGTTCGATTATAGAACGATTATAAACATTCCATAAAACTGATCAAATTGAGAACAGTTTGCTTGATTCTCAGCAATTCTCATCATTCTCAGTGGTAGGTGTTATATAACAACTACTATGATTATTGAAATACTGAATATAAATTGCGTTTTCTTGCAAAATCCGCATGGGCAAAGTCGCGGGTAACAGCTAGTTTGTTTATAAAATTGCTTACAAAAAACATTGGAAGGAATACTGGATAGGAATATTTCAAGGAGAAATTGTGAACAAGTAGTCTGAATTTAAAGAACATTGCAATGAGAAAAATGAAATGTATGTATATATTTATTAGATTACAAAAGTGTATATCCATCAATTGTGATGAAAGCTTATATAGTAATGATGAGAGCCTTGAAGGATCATTTTCCAATGTCACTAAAGGAAGAAAAATCTGTTAAGAAAATACTTTAGATTATGTTGAAAAAAAAAATCATATTTTGTATTCTGAAGAATCTATTATAGGCATAAAGTAGGATTTTCCATAGGATCACCTTTGTCAGAAATAGTAGCAGAGATGGTAATTCAAGATACAGAAAGCAATGTGATTGCAAAGTTTGAAGAGGATATGATTTTCATAAATAGGTATGTAGATGATTATTTGATAATGTGGAGAAATGAGAGAACTTGTGAGTTTGTGCAAGAAATCAATAAAAATAAGGACTAGCATTACAAGTTGAAAGAAGAGAAGAAATAAAATACTTGGATATAAATTTAAGAATTTCAAATAGTGATAACTAGCATATACAGAAAAGAGAATATAACACAATCTTTGATACATTGGTATTCATGTGGACTGACCAAGTTGGCAACTGTATAAAGGAGGTACAGATATTGTACAAAAGTGAAAGATTTAAAACAGGAAATTAATATGTTAAGATAAAATTTTGTGACTGAAGAGATTCCTCCAGATCAGCGTTTCTCAAACTTTTTGCTTGCACAACCCAATATATTTGTTTATAATGGTTCTGTGACCCAAATTTTTATAATATAAAATTTTTAAAAATCTTAGTAATCTGAAGTCACTGCATACAATATAACAAAATAAAATTATGCATTATTGATAGTAACTTCTACACATGAAATGTAATATTGAATACATTTCTATTACAGTAAGAGTGGTTCAGACTGTAGCACTTCGTGGCTATTGTATTATATTTTTATTTTTTTGTTTTCCATTTATGTCGCGTCACGCGTATGGATTGTACCGTTCCTTTCCATTTCCTTCCTCAATATCACCTGTTAGCCGATGGCTAGGTTTTCCGACATCACGTTGGTCAGTGACAGAGTGACGTAGTTGGAGGGAGATATAAAAGCGGAGGTGCCGGAAAAAAAAAATGACTTTTTTGGTTTCCCTCTTCGAAGGAGTACGCCGTGGACAGAAGGAGAGAAAATACGCGACCGAGAAGAGAATGGACCGTCGATAGAGTCAAGAAGTTGCAGCAAGAAAAGAAAATTATTTCCATCGAAGCCAACAATTGTATGTTACAAAAGAAATTAGCAAGTCCCTTAGGTACTCTGTATTTCAAAAATTTATTTGTACAATCTTTTTATTTTCGGCAGATCTATATTACTTGTCGGGAAAAGCAGGGCCTCGCGTGAGGAAGGATATTGGAAAAGGGAATATCAGGAAAAATTGTCATTGTTATGCTATCTGTGTCCGGTATTGAACTGTATCTTAAGATTAATATTGTACTGTTTTTTTCTACCAAAATAAACCTTTGTTTGTCTAGTTACACGTTTCCACCGACTGTTCATTGTCCTCCCCTTTGTTCTTTTCCTCGTTATCTGAAACCACAGACCACGTGCCTTGCGGAGTTTACAAGACCAATTTCAATTTTGTAATAAACAACTTACTTCAATTTCAGTTTTTATTACTGAAAGTTAACTATTTAAAAATGTAAGACTGACAATTGTAAATAAACAGATTGTTTCAAAATTATTCATGAGTCTAACACTTACATAAAACCTGGTAACCAGTCTTCAGGCTGAAGAAGAGCCCAGAAGGGCCTTGAAAACGTTAGCTACCCTAGTACGTAGCCACTCCGGTTACCAGGTTTTACGTAAGTGTTATTTGTATATCACCTGGTGTGTAAAGATGATTAATAATCATGAATCTATTTTATTTTGAAAAATATTACAAAATTTTTTTTATAAACTTAATGAACCCTTTTTTAAAATGTACTTTCTGACTGTAAGATGATTTTGT